ATCAGTGTTATTTAAAATTATAAGTAATGTTAATGTTATCAGCAAAAAGCAAGCACAGCATAGGCTCAAAGCCTGCTTTTTTCCTAATTACGTGACATCTTGTACATTTTACCTTGCAAATCTTAAGATGGTAAAGATATTAGCATCTGCATAATGAAAATTAAGACTGAGGCTCTGAAAGTTATGTGATCATCAGAGTAAAAAAACAGCTGTTTCATGGCAGAGCCAGATTAGAATCTGAGTCTCCAGTTTTTAGTCCCATTTTCTTGTTCTCTGTAAGACCTAGATGCTTTACTAAAGACTATCGTAGTGGGGTGCCTGGGTGGCTCAGTCCTTAAGCATCTGCCTTCAGCTCGGCTCATGGTCCTAGGGTCCTGGGATCGAGCCCCGCATTGGGCTCCCTGCTCCGTGGGAAGCCTGCTTCTCCCTCTCCCACTCCCCCTGCTTGTGTTCCCTCTCTCGCTGTGTCTCTCTGTCAAATAAATAAATAAAATCTTTAAAAAAAAAAAGACTATTGTAGTAATGAGAATAATAACAAGACTAATGAGAATAGCTTGCTTTTCTGTGTTTGCTTGATAGAGAGATTTTGGCAGTTAAGCTACTTAATAATAAGATCCCCAAATGTGCCCAAAAAGATTTTTATAAATAAGTTTCAGGGTTGAAAAATACACCTTCATGAGTTTCTTTTTTTCTTTTTAAGATTTTATTTATTTATTTGTCAGAGAGAGCACAAGCAGGGGGAACGGCAGGCAGAGGGAGAAGCAGGCTCCCTGCTGAGCAAGGACCCCAATACGGGATTCGATCCCAGGACCCTGGGATCATAACCTGAGCCAAAGGCAGATGCTTAACTGACTGGGCCACCCAGGCGTCCCTCTTCATGAGTTTCTAACTAACTGGTTTTTGGTTTCTAACTTGTTTCTCTTTTTATTGCTCTATGGTTGGAAAATAATGGATATTTATATTCAGAAAAAAAAACCTAAAACTATGTTTCTGGGAAGGGCTTTGAAGGTGACTTAAACCTGTTTTTCTGATGATGTTGGTATTCTGTCAAAATTAAGACAGATCGCTCACTCGCTTCTTCCCATAAACAGAGCCTGGGGAAATGAAAGTGAACTTCATGGACTTGGGTCCCTGAGCCTGACTGTCCTTGTGAATAGCTTTGACTACTTCATAGTAGGTTTATGCAGTTATCAACTTTAGGCTTCTGAAAGCCTAGCTTGGGTTTTGCTTTTCTTGCTGGTTTACATACTAGGTTCCACCGAATCAGAACCAGCAGCTTTTGGAACCTAGGGAGCCTTATCCCCAGCCTTTCTTTATTTAAAGCATTGGTATTTGTGGGTTTTTTAGGATGTGCTAGAATCTTGGGAGTGAATAGGGTCACAGAGATAGTCTAAGATAGAAGGTATGTATGATCATTTCTTTTCCCTTCTGGAAGTTTCTAAGCTGAAGGCAATAGCTTTCCTGTCATCCAAGATGAGTAGTGCTTTGGGCAAAATGCTCACACACCTATTTTTGAAATATATCTTAAATCTGTTTTACCCACATATATTGGTGGGCTCCTTGGAAAACCGCATATAAATATTTTTTATTGTGGCACAGAATCTTGAAAAGAATTAAGTTTTTGAGGGGTGACTGGGTGGCTCAGTCGGTTAAGCGTCTGCCTTCAGCTCGGGTCATGATCCCAGGGTCCTGGGATCGAGCCCTGCATCGGGCTCCCTGCTCCACAGGAAGCCTGCTTCTCTCTCCCTGCTTGTGTTCCCTCTCTCTCTGTGTCTCTCTGTCAAATAAATAAATAAAATCTTAAAAAAAAAGAATTAAGTTTTTGAATTATTAATGTTAAACAGAATGCTTTGTATAGTTATGCATCCATCACCTGTAGAAAAATATACGTTATTTGAAAGAAAGGAGAATGTAAGAAATATGACCCAGGTCCCATTCTCTTGCACCTAAGCATCTTCAAGCACCTAAATGTACTTGCCCGAAATGAGAAGGATAGCTATAGAGGTTAAAAGTCTATGGACTCGGGTGCCTGGGTGGCTCAATTAAGCGACTGCCTTCGGCTCAGGTCATGATCCTGGAGTTCCTGGATCAAGTCCCGCATCGGGCTCCCTGCTCGGCAGGGAGCCTGCTTCTCCCTCTGACCCTCCCGCCTCTCATGTGCTCTCTCTCATTCTCTCTCTCTCAAATAAATAAATAAAATCTTTAAAAAAAAAAAGTCTATGGACTCTACATCTGAAACTAATGATGTATTATATGTTGGCTAATTGTATTTAAGTAAAAAAAGAAAAGAAGAAGAGTCAATGGAATATCACAGAATAACAATTTGGCATCCCTGAAATTATAATCTAAGTTAATGAGAAATATGAGAAAATAATTTGATTTTTAGTTTGATTTGTAGGACAGATTTTCAATTGTGATGGTTTTAATAGAAGGTAATATAACTGATTTTTTTTTTTTACACATTTTCTCTTTAGTAATTTACACATTTACACATTTTCTCTTATACTACTTGGTTTTGATAATAAAGGAATTATTATGAGGCCAGAATTTTACTAGATAAAAGTGGGTCAAAAGTTAAATTTAATTGACCTCAGTACTATGAGAATTAATGTCTGACACTCTCATATTTTGTTTAGTTGGAAATGGACTTTGGGATATGTTTGGAGATATCACTACTGCTACCCTCACTCCCACACCCAAAATTATGAAGCGGAATCTGTACTTTCTAAGCTTCCTCCATTTTACCAAAACACAGACTGTATTTGCTGGGTTGAGCTGACAGTCCTTTGTAATCTGTTTTCCTTTTTCACCAAGCAAGCTTCCTTTTTATTTTTTTTAGCTCTCTTACTCTTCTGTCTTGGCTGCGTTGTTAGCTCACTGCTTTCTTGCAGCCCTGTTTTCCTGCTGCACACTTGATCTTTGAGCAGACACTGTCAGTAACAGCAGTTAACAGAGAAGCAGAAGGGGCTGAATACAAACATGCACATTAGTGTGTGCCGTGCTGATCTATGATACTGTGTGATGTTTTCTATTTTTGTTATTAGCTGCTGTCAGAAATTGATACTCACCCTGTGTGGAATGCTTCTGAGAATTTGGGGTTGGGGAAGGGGGCTAGTTTTTCATGTGACTTATCTCTGACATGCTGCAGCAGGAGAAAACACTCTTCTGCTCACTTAAGGAGGAAAGGAAAAATTTCCAAGATTGAGCTTGCAGAATTTGTGTGGTATATTTAGATTTTTCTTCCTGTGATTTCTATTTTTTTATTTTATCTGATTTTATAAGGGAAGTGGGGGATGACCTTTGCATAATAAGTAGATTGAGGTATGGGAGGAATGGGCTGCAACAATGATTCGCATGGTAAGGGACTGTTTAAAATCTCTGCAACGGGCGCCTGGGTGGCTCAGTTGGTTAAGCGACTGCCTTCGGCTCAGGTCATGATCCTGGAGTCCCTGGATCGAGTCCCGCATCGGGCTCCCTGCTCGGCAGGGAGCCTGCTTCTCCCTCTGACCCTCCCCCCTCTCATGTGCTCTCTCTGTCTCAAATAAATAAATAAAATCTTTAAAAAAAAAAAAATACTCTTAAAAAAAATAAATAAATAAAATAAAATCTCTGCAACATCACGACCCACATTGCGACCCATCTGACAAATGGTTAGTGAGCTCCTTGGCCATCTCAGGTATTTAAAAGTAACAGTATACAAATAGCTTTTATTCTTGGGCTTTTTTTTGTCCTTACAAATCTTAAGAACATTGTGCCTGCATATCCAAAACAGTTGATTTTTGTCTACATTTAAAATATCACCTCAAAAAGGGTCGAGAAATATAAATATAGCATTAAGTTGTCCCCTAAGTATCTCCTCTGGTCTAATTTTCCCACTTGCCTTTATGCTACAGCTTAATGGAGCCTGAGCTTATGTTTTGGTGATGTCTGGGATGAAACTGAAATAATAGTCTTGAAGCTCTAAGGAGAAACTCTACAGTACTAGTCTGGAGGACTTCTTGAATGCCATCCCCCCTTCTTCATGTTGCCTTCTTTTACCTTTACCCCCACCCAAAAATGTATTGCTGCAGAGTTCTATGGATTTTTCTCTCATTTTGTAGAAAAGAAAAGAAAAAAGGAAGAGAGCAAGTCAGTGTGTGTGTGTGTGTGTGTGTGATTTCAGTACAAGCAGTTAAATTTATTACATCAAAAGAAATAGCTTTATATTGTAATTCTGAATCTAAGGTTGCTTAGGACTCATTCATTAGGAATCTAGCTCTGATGGAAGCATGTAAGAATTTAGATAATGGTATCTCAGACTACCAGTGATCCTAGTATGTTTGATCTGAAGAGTATAGAAAGAGATAAATGCTAATGCAATTCTTTTTTTACTTAGTATACACTGTTTTATGTATTTGATCAACTGGAATTGATAAGTGGTCCTAAAATAGTTTTTTTGAGCAGAGCGGTATTTGATGGAGCAAATGGACTGTGTATTGACAGTCTTATCCATTTCTTCTATGTTGTTTCATTCTAAAAGTGGTACACACCAGTGATTTAAGGGGAAATTAACACTTCATTAAATGTCCTTTTCCTTAATATTGTTGACTCTTTCTATTAGCCATTTTCATTTGATTTGACATGGTACTTAAGGGTTAAGCTTACAGAGCTGATGCAACCCCTCCTTTTTTTCACCAGCAATTTTCATTGGACATCATTTCCATAGCAACAGTGAGATCAGTGCAACCTGAGTGTTTCATTGATTATTTTTCTCCTCTTCCTTTTTTAATCTATTCTCTTTTCACCACATTTTAGTGAGAAAGCAATTTTTTTTTTACAAACGGCTTATATTGATTTCTATTCCATAAATAATTAAAAGAGGGTGGAAACTCTGCCCTTCACTTAAAAATTGAATGTTTCATTATGTATTTAAAAAGCGATTCAGGGTTAGGAGGATGGATAACCATACCAGCTGTAGCTGATGTTCTCAAATATTCTTGCATTGTTTGCTGGTCTTCTAGGGAAAAGAATAATGTGGAACAGGACCTTAAGGAGAAAGAAGATACTATTAAACAGAGGACAAGCGAGGTTCAGGTAAGTGAACTGTAAAATTCAGTATTCTATTTCTGATTTAGGAGGATTCATTTTAAATATATAGGGTCATTTACCATGTGATGGTTGTGGTATTGATGAGTAGGTCAAGGGAATACCTGTTATTTATGTGATATAAATATTTGCCTTTTGCAAAATGATAGTTTTTCTCTGAATTCTGGCCTGCAAAGATTATACTACAATGAGAAAGCAGTATTTTTAGCATAAATTTCTAGTTTTGAAAGTATTTTTAAGATAATATTTACCTACATATTATATCATTAAAGGTAAGTTTGAATGACTTACGATGTAAATATTATTACACCAATAAAATTAAATGAGTGAGATCATCATCACCATCATCATCATCATCAAAACACAAATTGCTTTTTACGAATGTGAAATTTTGTTAGCTAAGGAGACCTAGTGTTTTTAAAGGGCTGTTTCTCATAATACTATAATACTGATAGGATGGGAAATGATATGAAACAATTTAAAATAGCATTTTGTAAGTTGCTTAGTAGCCAGGCTATCTTAAACTTTAGCATAATGAGATTTAATTCATTTTCACTAAGTGCTGCATTATGTACCTTCATTTTACAAATAGAAAAGGTAATAAAACCTCAGTTTCTGATTGAGAAATGATATAAAAAGGGGTATTTCAAAATTAAAAATATAGAAAATTGAGCAGTGTTGCATTTAGAGCAGTAAATATTGCATGTTACCATGTTATTGGGGCACTGTTTCCTGAATGTTATACCAGCACATACAGGAGGTTGGATGTAGAAGCACTGTTGTCAGTTGCCAGTAAAAGCATATGGATGGGCCTTTTAAAACATGTTACTTGTATGTTCGATTTTCTTGCTTGTGCTGATAGTTTTAAATGAATGAAAGCTCTAAATTGGTAGATCCATTGTTTTGTTTTGATGTAGGACATACACCAGAGATAGTCTGAGATGTACTGTGCCTGGGTGGAGAGAATGATTTACTGAGAGATTGAGGAAGAAGCCAGAGACTTCTTGTTACAAGTTGGCTATTTTATTAGATTACTACATTTATTATATATACTGGAATTTTCCTAAAGGTGATGGAAAAGTCAAGAGATCATCACTAATATATTTCCCTTTGTGGTAGTGAAATGGGGGGTGGTTACCTCAGTTACATTATTTTTGTGCAGTTTTTGAGCTTAGGAAATGAAAAGAGACACAGACTTAAGCAATTATTGCTGAAAATAGCTTAAGAATGGAAGATAAAATAATCTATAAAAGTTTCCTCAATCTGAAGAGATAGATACAGTTACTGATAAAATACTGGACAGCTTCTAAATTTAGCCAGATAGTGTTTCAAAGTATGCAGGTTTTTGCAATGGACAGTATTTTGTTATTTATGTACATCTACCTGTTGGTTTTTCCCTACTGCATCTTTTGAGAATGTGAATTTAAAAGGCTGTTTTAGAACAACACTGAAATTTATATTGTTCTTTCAGGCTAAATGGGCTATCCTTGAATATTTGATTTCTTACAATTTTAGAAGTTTTTTATCAGTCAAGATTTTTTTTTTTTTTGTCCTTTTTCACTTAGTGGTGATGGTAAGGTATATGTTAAATCTTAAGCTTTGCTAAATCCAAAATGTATAATTAGCAGAGGGAGTCTATTTAATTTTTCTGTATTGGGTGCTGTAAATAAAAGGCATCGTGGAGCATGCAGAGTACAGACCAGTTTGTAATGTTTGAACATAAATTTGTTGAAAAGATAACAATCGATTAAAGCTTTGTATTAGTAGATTCATGACTCATTCCACCCCAATACAGGTATCTCTGTATTATACATGATAATGAGACACTAGACTAAGAATGACATGGATAAGTAACATCTACATGTAATTAACACTTTTCATTTTAGTGATTATTCTCAGTTTTCTGAAGCACATGGTAATAAGTAGATTTCATTACCTATTGATTAACTCTGATTTACCCATTGGTAATGAGGCACAGACTAAGGAATAACATGGATAATTAAAATCTGTAAGTAACTCTTAAGTCCTAGTGCTTTATTTTCTAATTTCTCTGGCAAAAGGCAGTTTACTGGAGTTATTAATTAATCGCAAAATCAAAGAACTTCAGTGCTTTCTGACCCGACTTTCTAATGTAGGTGCTATTGAGAAATGCCATAATGAAGACATCATCAGGAGAAAAGTAAGGGAATTCTGACCTATTAGTGAGTGTCTGCCTAATCCAAACTTGGCTTTTCTGAGTGTTCTTGCTTTTATCCATATTTATAAAGTCATAGATAGTAATTATATGAGCTCATATCTCAAGCACAGAAACCAAATTTTAGATGCAACCAAAGTGCCAAAAGACTAGTTCTTTTTTGTTTTGTATCTGTAGTCTTTAGTCCTAATACAGGTAAGTTAGAAATAATCTGCTATATAATTAATTTCTAAATTTTTGTTTCCTATCTATATTCCTATGAACTACGATCTTGAAAACTTTAAGTTCAAGATTTTTTCTTGAAAAACAAACCAGCAGGTAACTTCAACTTTTTTCCTGAAATGATCACTGTTAACGCATATGAGGTATTCTGCTAGTTCCTCAAGTTCTATGGAGAAATTAGGCCCAAAGTGATCCAAGGGGAAAAAGCTATAAAAGGCCATTCTATCTCAAAGGTATATGGTTTGGACTTTTGTTTGTTTGTTTGTTTGTTAAGGGGAGAAGGGAGACCCACATTCTTTCCTACCTTAAACTGCCTATATACAAATTTATTAAAGTTTTTCTTCTGAAAGTGAACAAATTAGGAATTCACTCTTCTGTGTGCTTTGCTTCAGTGTTGCATAGAAGTTTGTAGGAACAACATGGTATCTGACAAACTTGAATTCAGATTCTAGTTCTGACTCTTACAAGGTTTGTAATCCTAAGTAAGTAATTTAACCACCCTATACATTAGCTCTCTATTCTGTAATATGGAATAATAAAAATACCAAATACTTAGAGTTGCTATAGGAATAAAGTGAGATAATGCAGTTACAGTGCCTCAGAGAGTGATTGGTACCAGGTAAAAGTTGAATAAATGTTCTGATTAGTAGTAGAATTCTATACCCTATCATCTCCTTATTATCTATCCTCCAGCTCTTCCTTCTCTGACTTCTGCCTTTACTTAGGGCTATCTGCACACAGGACTCACCAATTTGAAAATACCTTTTTGTTTTTTGTTTTTTCTGTTATTACTGGCATGTTAGCTACCAATCTGTTTTTTCTTTTCTTTTTCTTTTTTTATGTGGCCATTTTTTCCTCTTCCTATCCTTTCAAGTAATCCTCTTTAGTCTGCTGTTTACCCATGCTTTAATTTTTCTTCCCAGAACCAATAATAATCTTAAGGCCAGATCCATTGGTCTTTCCTGCATTGGTTCCTGCTTTCTTGAATTTTGTTCTCTCAGATATTCTCCTGCCTGTCAGACCCTTTGCTTCTGTTGCCTTTGTCAGGGATTGACTGATACATGCCTCCACCTTGTTTCCTTCCTTTTTCATACCCCCTGTCATCCATATGCTGGTGACTACCAAATATTTATCAAGCCCTCTACTTTTTAATCTCACATCTCCAATTAGACATTTTAGTGTTTCTCATTGCAAAGTCAGTGTATCTAAAATGAGTCTCATTTTGTTGAAAATAAAATTGGCTTCAGTTTTGGACTTTCCTATTTCTGTCAGTGTTTTCTTTCTCCTTATTGCCACCCTTTTACCTAACATCTGAAATTTTGAAATCAGATCATAAGTGCTCTTCTTGCCATCCTCTTCTTGCCCTTCTTCCTAAACCAATTTTAGTATCATGACTCTCAGCTGTGAAAAATCTTGACTGCTGCCCACTGCCACTGTTAATGATGAGAGGATGTCCTATCTCATGGGTATATTGGAGGTAGGAAAAAAAGATGAGATACAAATCCTCCTCTTGTACTACTTGTTTTTTTATTGGCTGCCTCTAAACTGTGCCATACACATTCTCTTTCTTATTCCTATGCTTATATCTGTTGTTGTGATCTAGAATGTTCCCTACCTCCCTGCTTATGTGAATTCTGCCCATGCCTTAAAGCCCAGCTCAAATCCCACCACTTCTCTAAATAAAAGTTTTCCTTCTCTGTCTCCTAGTCTATATTCATCTTTCCTATGTTGGAACTCCCAGAGGAGTGTGTATTTACTTAGATGATATGTCCAGTATGTTACCTTCTTGTGCTAGTATAGTGTGTATGATTCCAGTATCTTCCAGCCTCTATTGTAAACTCCTTAAGCTAAGAAATTGTACTGTGGAAAATTTCTTTCACTATATTTAATAATATATTATTACATGGAGATAAATTTAAGGAAGCTGTTGACCATAGAAATGAATAAACTTCAGTTTTGTACATGAATTAAAAATAGGACAAGACACACCCAGAAGCCCTACACAGAAAGGATTGGGAGCATGGTAGGTTCACACAGAGTCAGACTTTTCCATAAAGTTCATACTTGTTCATGCCACTCTCATGCAAAAGAAACTCCCACTTGTTTATACTTTATCAGTAAATGTTCAGTAATCATAGTAATTGTCCTTTTTTTGTTTCATTTTAATCACTTAGGGGTTTTTTTTTTTTCTTAGATGAAGAGGGATGACTTATTTTGGGTAGAAATAAAATTAGATACATGAGCTCAACATTCTTTTCCTAGCGATAATGCTCTTAGAACATGCTGGGAAGCATATGATTGGGAAATAAAGGCAGGCTGTTGGTGAGGATTTCTAACACCCACCTAGTTTAATAGACTTCCTTTCTGTTCTTTGACCTAAACATCTTGCTCTATAGTTGATACTTTTTTTATATTAAGAATACTCCTCAGAGTCCATTGTCAGCTGAGGGTTCTAGAGGGGAGGGGGTGGGGGGAAGGGTTGGCCTGGTGATGGGTATTAAAGAGGGCACGTTCTGCATGGGTCACTGGGTGTTATACGCAAACAATGAATCATGGAACACTACATCAAAAA